TCAACTATAACTCAGAGTAAGCCACAACCACACAAGTGTTCTTCTTCCCACATCAGTATCTTAAGAAAAAACTTGGCTGACAAAATTCTTGGTAACAATTACATGTAAACAAACACTAAAACCAGAATGTCATAAGTAGTCCTAGTATTGAAAAATTACATTAAAAAGTAACAGAAGAATGAGTTTGAAAGCAGTATCTCATCATTAAAGGGTTTTCTTATTCTCAATTGTAAAGTGACTGTAGTTATGTGAATGTAAAAGTAAAAAAAAATAATTAAAGCATTTTTCCACTCACTTTCAGAGGAGATTTTTTTTTCCTTAATTTAGAACTATATCAAACATAAAATAAAGGAATGCAAGCTTTATCAGAAATTGAACATCCATAGATCATGGATTATTCCCAATGGCATTCTGAAATACATGGTAAAAAAAGTTATGAAAACTCTGTGAGAAGAGGAATAATTAAATGAAAAAGCTTCACCAGAACAAAGACAGCTTGTTAGCACTTTAAGGAGGTAAGGGTGATGATGAGAACTTCGTATGTACAGAGTGTAATTTCCAATAGACTAACTTTCCAAACCTTCTTCAGCAGTGTGGATACACTAGCTAGAGAAGCACAATTTAACTTTCTGATCCTGCATAAGATTTATGAAGTTACGTCTCAATGGAAAAAAAAACAATCCTGTCTTTTCATCAGAAAACTGAAGGAGAAAAAAAAGATTAATAAAAACCGCTATTTTACCACTGTTTTCAAATTAAAACTATGCCTAACAGAACCTAACAGCTAAAGGGAAGACTAGGCTGCCCTAACACCATGGTTTTCATGCTGTGGTCTGAAGACTTCTCTGGCCTCCAGACTAATTAATTCCAAGGAGTCTGTCAAAAGTAAATAACACAAATGAGCCCAGCAATCATGCACTGCAGTTTGAATTTGCTTAAGTAGAAATGTTATGGATGCACAAATAAAACAACTGGATGTCAGTGCTTTTATCTGTCCTTTCCACCATCTAACAGAAGAATTCTGTTTCTCGGGCTGATGCAAATGCACACTTACACAATATGCAACTATTCATCCCATCTATCCCAACTCCTTCCCCTATCAACAGCCTAGAGCATAATCTGATGTTTTTGATACCATCTTTGTCTTTGTCATTTAAAGACCATAACTCACCACTGTACTTCCAGTCTATACCACCTTTTCCAAAATTCTAAGTCAACAAACAATACTCTCATGTAATGAAGACATTATTAAAAACAAACAAACAAACTTCTCAAGTTAGAAGAGTTTCTCGCTAGGTGCCTAGCTAGAAAACTAGAACAAGCAATAAGAAAGACCAATAAAAAGTAAGAAGGGAACAAGTTATCTGAAATGTCTCTGCTGAAAGTCTCACTCCACATACAATGTCAGTTAGCAGATAAACTTAAGTCTAGCACATTGCCAGCAGCAAGTAACCAATTTTAAACATAAAACCTTAAATTCCCAGTGTCTTTTCTCTTTTTAATTGTTACAACAGTTAAGCAAACCAACTTACCATACAGGTACGGGAGTTTTCTCCTATGAATGAATCTCTTAGCACCTGAGTAAGTTTACTTGCTCTGAAGGGTGTATGAGGTTTATTTCGGCCTAAGGCTCTAATGCACTCCTGAAAGAACAAACAGGTTTTTGCATTTTTCTTTAACATGGATTGAATAAATAGAATACAAACGCAATTCAAAATCAGAAAACACATGCCTTAGTTATGTTGCTGTCCCCTAAAATTTATTAAAATTTACCGTTAAAGCTTGAATTCAAGAAGTGTCAGGCTTTTACCTCTCACTAACGTCAGTAAAGAGGTAGGAACTTAAAAAGGACTTAGGAGCCTGAAAACCTTTCGAATCTCATCCAAAATGTTTGCAACTATTGTATCCAACAACAACAAAATAAAACAAAAAATCAGTGTTGATGTTAAGTGTCCAGATAAAGTTATTTCTGATTATCAGCTACAAAAGCCTGAATGATCTACAACCTGTGCCAACAGCAGCAGCATGGACAGGGACAAGTGTTAACTCTATCAATTAAATGCAGCAGCTTTGATTCTGACTTTGCCACTGTCTTTCTTAACAGCTCAGAAGAAAACAAACTTTCTGAAAGCTTCTTCCACAGACCACAAACCTAGTAAGCGTAGCTCTCTATTGATGTACTCAGTTTGGAAGACACTCAAAAATGTAAGTCATTCACTGTTTTAAAATATTCTTCATGTGAAAAAACAGGGATAAGAACTCCTCTTTCAGTCAAAAAGGTATGGGGCTAAATACTTGCAATTGGTTGGAGAGTTCCAGTGAGAAATACTGTACAGATGTAAATATTATGAAATTACTATAGAAGTTACAGCAGCAACTAAGTGCAACAGTGCAAAACAAGATGGCACTAATCTAAGCATCACTTCTGCCCACTCAGAGCTCTAACATCAGCTAATAAATTGCTTCTTACACAAAGAAAGTTTAAATTTAAATTTCTGTGTTGTTGTTGTCATCAACATATTTTGATCATTAATTCCAGTTTCTGCCTTTGCCTTAATACTTTGTGTACAGGCATCTCTTCAGACGCATGGCTTTCTTGGTACAGTTCTAACATGACTACACACAGAATTTCTTCAAGCAATCATATTTCAAAAGCTCTTCAAATTAGAGCTTTGCTTTTAGCAGCATTAACAGATGGAATGGCTTTTGTGCTACATTAATAGTTCTACAGTAGTTTAGCTAATTCTCCAGCTGCAGCCATGTCCCTGTGGCGTTTTGAAATTACCAAGAAACAGCATCTTGCAAAAGCCAGGCTAGAAACTGCGGGATGATAATCCAAGAAAGCACTGCAACTGTGAAACAGCATACAACAGAACTAAAAACAGCCTCAGAATAAAACTGCCATGACACAGAACAGAACAAACACAAGGGTAAGTTGTCTTTAACTAAAGTGATTATTTAAAAAACTCACCAGCTGAATTTTATAGAATGTACACAGCTCAGATAAACAGAAAGACTGAAGCTTGTTGATAGTGAATTTCACATGCAAATGCTAAAAAGGACTCAATACTTACAGGTGAGCAAGGCAGTGCATTCCTTCAATTTTTTTATTTTGAACATTAATACTATACTTATATAAGGAGAAAATCAGATTAGACAGGAAAAGGGGCAACAGATTTTCAGTAAGTGACATTATTAACTAAAAACAGTAAAAAATGTGTATGTTGAATTACTGATATGGCAACCAAAAGGTTTAATTAAGATACCTGAGTTTACTATAATGATTTTTAGTTTGCCTACTCCTCAAAAATTAGAATTGGATTATCTCATTAGTAAAAGAATTATAGGAGGACACTGACAGCTTCTAAATTAATGGAGGTTTTTAACTACATTTGCTTTTCATCACAGCTCAGAAAACCAGGTAACAAAATGACAACACTAATTCCATGTAGAGACATTACAGAAATAACTTCCTGTACCAAAAATCTGAACAGGTTAAGACAGGACTGATATGCAGATGCAAATAGCAAATCTTGGATTAGCACCAAAGACTAGTCCTCAGAACAAACTAGTTTTATTTGAACTTCACAATAACTTCAAGAGTCTTGAATACAAATGGAAAAAGTTTTGTAATGTTTTTGGAGAAAGATGAAAAATGGAAAACTAACATCACTGAGAAACTTGTATCTCCCTGCACCACTGTTTAGACCTCTGCAAGACCTCCACTTATTTTTATTCCCCCTTCCCCATTTAGATCACAACCACTAGTACGGCAGCAGCAGAACCTCTTGCTATAATTAAAATCAAGTTGCATGAAAATGAACTAAGTATCTTGTATGGTTATTGCACTGAAGGCACTAGCCAGTACAAAATCAACAAGTAAGAAAGGCAACTTGGGTTGCATCAACCAGAGCGTCACCAGCAGAGATACAGAAGTCATTATCCCACTCTACTCAGCACTGAGTAGAACTGGCTGAGAGAACTGGGTTTTCTCAGCTTTGAGAAAGAAGGCTCAGGGGAGACCTTAACACCTGTTCCAGTATTCTGTGCCTTTTTAGCAAAAAATGGGGAGTTGGGAAGTCCTTAGTTTTCTTTCTCTCAGCAACAACCACAGATATTAGTATATTATCAATATTCTTATACCAAATTCCATGCTGAAACCAAAACACAGAGCTACTCTAGCTACTAAGAAGAAAATTAACTCTCTCCCAGATAAAACAAGGAAAGGTTCAGATTCTTTATAAAGAACCACAGTGCTGGTACTGAGAGTAGTAAACCTAAGCAAAACTAGCAACAAGAGAGACAAGTTCTGAGCCATTCAAAACTACTGTTTCCCCAGTTGAGACCAAAAAATTACTTTCCGTCTTTAGACTGAACCTCTTTCGAGCACTATAAAACAAATAAACAAAAAGGCACATAAATATTTAAATAATGTTTCTTAGTTCTTCTCTTGATGTGTCCTGGATTAATGCATGAAAATCTGTAAAGTAACTGTATCAGACAATTTGCTATAAAGAACAGCAGTCAAAAATGGATTCCAACTTTCAAGGGTTATTTTAGTCCATTTGTTAGTTCTTCCTGGATATGTTGTTGTTGAGTTACTTTAGTGAATTAACTTGCAGCAGTAAATAAATATGTTGTAAAGGTAATTTTATTTTTCATTTTAAAAAAGAAATAAATCCTGAGATCAGTAAGAGCATTTCCAGTTAGTATTTCAGACCTTGAGTACCAAAGTAAGTCATGTGTCCTCCCATTTTAGCTATATATGAGAAAAGTCTGCAGATTCAACAAATGCACTGGGAATTTTTTGTTGAGTGGTTTTCTTTTTTTAAACTACACGCATCTGATAGCACAATGTTTCTGCAATGTTTCTACTTGGTAATTACCAAGTGGTCCTTCAGGCATTTAGAGGAAAAATCAATACATTATTTTACCTGTCACATCAGTAGATAATGTAGACAAGCAAAGCCTGCAAAAACACTCATTTTAATAGTCATTGCTATTATATGTAGAAGGCTTCCATCTACTCAAAGGCAATGGAAACATTTCAGTTACCTTGAGTGCTAAAAGGCTCTTGTTAATTTCCGCACCTTCCAGTCGTGTCTGCCTATCTGCACTGGAAGTATCTGCTCCTCTTTCATTGCCAGCCAAATCAATCAGAGAAAATTTACCATGCAATTTCCCTTTCCTTCTGAGAATAATCTGAAACACTGCATGGCTTCGAGATGAGTGTGCATTTGCAGATGTCTGGCCAGATGTCCTTTAAGCAAAAGGAAAGAAGGGAAGGACATATGAACAGGTGAAGGACCATATAAATTAAACACAGAACATTAGTTTTTGCTGGGCAGAGCTCTGTATTTTCTTACATGTGTTGACAGCATGTCTAAATTTCTTGCGGATACTAGCAATACAACCCTAATAATTGGATGTACATAGCACAATTATACCTCTTTTTCCATCTCTTCAAAAAGAAATGGAAGATTAGGAACATTTTACCTCCCTTTTAAAAGCAAGAATAATAAGATCTTCAAAGACTTCAGATTATCAAAGAGATTACATGTAAAATGCTGATGGCATTTTTATCTGATCAGACAGCAGTCTATCTACAAGGCTAATTTAAAAAGCCATGAAGCTGGATTCTTAAAAAAAAAAAAATAAAATTTACACTCAACCTCTGTCACTACATATCAAGGCCTTTTAGATCTGAAGAATCTGGCAGTATTCCAGATTATGATTTGAATTTAAGTCGGTAAACTGGTTACATAATGCATGCAGTTCACGTCCTGTAGAAAAATCACTTCTTACTTCTCTCTGTGAGACAGAGAAACTCTAAATATCTTTATTAAAAAGGTAGGCAGATTCCTTACTTGCAGCCAATATCATAATCTAAAAACTTACTGCATATTAAAAAGCCATCACTATGAAGAGACCAAAAAACAAAATTTCGTTCTGATTCTTTAATGTACAATGAAAAACTGGTGGAAGCTATGGGACATACCTGCAGCTGTTGCCCATTTCAATAAGCTTAAGAACATCTTCCACACATTTGACTTCCCGTTCCTGTAATCCCACCACCTGGACTTGCTGTTTACCATCTTCTAACACTCTTAGTTTTGTCTTCCTGTTCAACAAGTCAAAAACCTTAGGGAAGGGGGGGGAAACAGAACAGTTAAAGAATAGCTTTGAAATACAGTTTTGTTCCAAATCCCATATCAAAATATGCAAAGCATTCAATGGAAAAACATAATTGGAAGGAAAAAAAAAGAAAGCTGGCAGTACAAAAAGGGAAACATCTTTTATGTGAGAATCTCAAAACCTTGTTTGTGAAAGAGAAGTTCCCCTTCCTCAGAGAAGGATCAGGTACTTACCTTACCACTGTAGATCTCAAAAAATGTTGCATATACTTGAAGTTCCAACTTCTTATAGTTTGGCTTCTTTAGCATTAAAAACACATCTCGAGCTGTGAATACATTTCCAGAATAAAAAGAAATCTCATAATCTGTTTTCATTTAGTGAAGACTCATTAATGCATAACAGTTTATTTTACAGCATCTCTCATATTTTGCAAATATAACAGATTGGGTCAGTCAATCAAGTCTAAAATGCTGTGGTTTAAACTGCCACATCACATCAGAAGATGCAGAAGACCCCAAAATTATAAATGTAATTCATCATCCATTATATTTACTACATTTTAAAAGTAATCTTTATATACATCTACTTCACTGTGTAAAGATACATCTAGAAACTCCTTTTGTTGTTATCAAAGCTTCACTGTAATGCAAAATATGTAGAGCCTTATGTTTGTGCGACAGGGAGTAGAAAATTTTTTTATCTCAACTAATTTGCAGAAAGCCAACAGATGAAGTCTCACCTGCAAGGGCATATATTCCTTTAGAACAATCTTGGTTCTTTCCTGAAAAGTCACCACCCATAGTCTAAATCAAAATAAGACAAAAATACACTATAAAGATGACAGAACTGCTACTTACAAATTTGTTACTCATTAGAATTTATATAAGTGTATGGTACATAAAAAGTGTATTGCTGACACATAGAAAAAATACTTACATGAGTTTTTCCACTGCCTGTTTGCCCATATGCAAAACAAGTGGCCATTCCCCTTTCAAATATGGTCTCCACTAATGGTCGAGCTGTAAACCTTAAATGCAAAAACCAGCAGTACTTAAGAAACGTAATTACTTTAAGATGCAAGGATGCTAATAATTTTAAGGCCAGAAGTGACAAAGCTGGTCCAGTACTGTGAGAGGCCACGAAGGACATCTTCACATTAAGTCCTAAACTAAAGAGCCTATCAGCTCTAAGCCATTAAAATATCCCAGACAATCAAATAAAAGCTACCAGGTCTCTTCCATTTATTTTACAACATTATTATCCTTCTTTAAACCATAAAAAAAAAAACCACCTCTTGTTTTAATGATGCAACACAGCACAGCTTATTAAATGGAGTATGGAGCTCCCTAAAGAAGACAGCGTTAGAAGACATGGAAGTAGGACAGTGGAGCAGATAAATACTTGGGTTTTCCCAATACTAAAATTCTGTTATAGTTTTGGTTTGTTTGGTTGTTTTTTTTCTCCCCAAATCAGCTTCCAAGATTAAATTTAGAAGACAGATACACATCCTAACATTTTGAGAACATACAAACACTGAGAAAAGACTCAAGAGAAAGTATACCCAAGCTCTTCAGAATGTAAAAATCTAGTTATCCCTGAAGTAATATTTGATGTGTCAAATATCCAAATTATAATTATCCTATTTTGGAGAATTATTTTTTTCTTTAAAAAATAGTTTTTGCTCCTACTTCAGCTGCTTATCACCATTATTCTATTTAAAAACTACAAAAGTAAAGGGTAACCTAATGAAGGGTTACCAATGGAAGTAAGAGTCTCTCTGCAAACTTCCTAAATTTTTTCCATGTGTTCACACACAAAGTAAGTTTAAGTGACAGACACCGGAAAGATTGTTTACAGAAACACAAAGGTGTTACAACTTTCTTTCATTCCACTTTGTAACAAACACAAGGCTGTTTACAAAAATAATATGGGTAAGATCGAGCCATTGAGCAACCAAGGGTTATGCAAAAATCTAAGTTCGACTGAATCTTTAATTTTCATCAAAAATATACTAGTTGATTCCTGAACAGCCTTAGTCTTTCTTTTTCCTTCCTCTAAACATATGCTTCCTTTGTCCTCAACAAGGTGTTCCCATATTTTGGTGTTTGTTCTTTTTATATATAAAATACAAAATTTCACAAAGCCTATCCACCTAAGAAAAACATTCCACTATCTCTGTTTAGCTGAGTTTGAAATTATTTATTTTGTTGATTTATAAAAAAGGGACTTAAATATATCTATTTTAAAGTAAGACAAAATACAAACATGTCTAGAAAAGTTTTCATAAAGCATGCTACTGCAATTCCAAATGGTACCATGCCAAAGCAGTCCAAGTTTACTCTTACTAGAACCTTTATTTGCAATCTTGATGTTTCACAAATATAAAACTCTGGTTTTCATTTAGAATTCAAAAGGCATACCCATTCAAACTACAGCATGTTTTAATACTAATGAAAACTTGCAACTTGGTGTTGTGGCTCATGGACTCAAAAATACTTAAAATAAAGCATAATAATAATAATAATAAATAATCACAGAATCAC